CCCTGTTTGTGGAGTAGACAGATAATAAATTACATGGGATGACAGACTCCTGTACCACCCTGAAACCTTGGGGTTCTGTGTGGTGGGCCTGGTGTGTAAGAGGTTGAATCCACAATCACCCCAAAGGCCAAAGGAGCCAGTGCCGGTAGGACACGCCACATAAAAAGCCCAAGCACTATAGACGGCACACGAGGCACCTGCCCTTACCACCTTCTCAGTCAGTGTTGACTTGCTCCAGACAAGGAACTAAGAAGTTGTTTTGAGGGTACACCTGAGGACAACACACTGAACTGTTCTCTGGATCAAGTCTCCCTAATTTTTGGTAGCCACCTTTTCAATTTCCTGTTTGCATGGTCAGCAATGACTTTAGATTATGGATACAGTAGTGCTTAGTACAGTAGTGCATAGCTACACCTTCCAATTCATTCTCACCCCACCTCTCTCTATCTCTTCAGGGACCCTTCTCATGATAGTCTCCTTGAGGGAGCTGGTGTCTGATGCCTCAGATTAGGTCTGGGGTGCTTACTTGGGATCACTCCAGATGCAGGGATAGTAGTCTATGTGCAGGGCCCTCTCTTCTGTAAACATCAGGCAACTCAGCATAATCTGAAACAGATGCAAAGTGTTTTTACCTCACCTGTCAGGCAGGGTGGTTCTAGTCCTTACAGACAAAATGGCCACCATGTTCTACATCAGCGTTTCCCAAACTATGGGCCGCGGCCCAGTACTGGGCCACGGGAAAAAATACTGGGCCTCAGCGTGGCTGCCAAGGTGTTCCGGGCTGGGCGGATGCAGCCGTATGTTTCAGGCTCCTGGCAGAGACATAATGAGGGTTACCAGGTGAGCTCTTATTGCTGACTGTGGAGAGGAAAAGGGGGGTTGGATATGGGCCGCAGGGAAGCAGGGTCGGGACAGAGGAGCTGCCCGGGGGAGATAGGGAGAGGAACCTGCCGGCGGAAGCAGGGCTGGCTGGGGTAGCAGGGCTTGCCAGAAGAGATTGGGAGAAAATCGGCTGGCGGGGACAGCGGGGCTGGCCCAGAGCGGGAGCGAGGAAGGTGGGAGGGAAGTGGGGAGAGAATTGGCCAGCAGGAGCGGGGTGGTTCAGGGCGCACACAGATCCTGAATAAAAACTTAAAAGCAGTGCCTTTTAAATATCCCCACTGCTGACAGTGAGGTTTAAAGGCACTACAGTGTGTCAGAATGGAGAGAACCTGGTGCATTCACCATCCGGAATGAGAATATGGATAAAAAAATTCCAACGATGGCGTCAGCTTTCTGAAAATAAATGAGCTCCTTTTCAATACACGATGTGATGGTGCAGGGTTTTATTGGATTACAATCCATTTTTCCAATCCATATTCCCTTAACTTGCTGGTAAGAATATTGTAGGTGGCCGTACCAAAAGCTTTGTTAAAGCTGGCCCTCGGGGCTTTGGGAGGACCAAAACCAACGTATTTGCATATTTGTCATTTGCTTAATGAATATTCAAATGAATGTTACCGGTCTTCTGAAAGCTCATGAATGGATTTACTGGTTCCTGTGTCAAAAAGTTTGGGAACCCCTGTTCTACATCAACAGACTTGGAGGAGCCTGCTCCGCACCTGTCTGTGAGGAAGCATTTCAGCTCTGGATTTCTGCATTCTCCACGGCATCTTCTTGGAAGCACGGCATCTTCCGGGAACCTGCAACGCGGTTGCAGACCACCTGAGCGAAGAGTTCTCATTTCACCATGAGTGGGCTTTACATCCCAAAGTGGTGAGAGTTGGGCTTTCCCTGAATAGACTTGTTCACAGTGAAACAGAAATCAAAGCGACCCAGGTTCTGCTTCAGGCTAGATCTGGAAGAAGGCTCCTGGAAAATGTATGGAAGACGTTTTTCTTTTCCCTTATCTGGATGGTCTCCTGAATGTGCTGTCCCTATTCCTTTTGATCAGCAAGGTCCTCCAGAAAATCAGGCAGGACGCGGTAAAAGTAATATTCATTGTACCAGCAAGACCTCACCAGCACTAGTTCAGCCCACTCATGAGTTTTCTCCTGCAGTCCCCTCATCCATTTCCGCTTCACCAGGATGTATTGTCCCAGGATCAAGGCTGCCTCTTCCACCCGGACCTGCGGCTACTCCTCCTCATGGAATAGTTACTTCCTGGTTGAATCTGTGGGAGTATGCCAGTTTAACTGATGCACAACAGGTGCTTCTGGAAAGTAAGAAGCTCTTTACTTAGTCTAACTGAATGACAAAGTAGACCTGATTTTCGATCTGAACTGCACAAGGAGGAGTCACCCCTGCTATGCTCTGCTGCAGCTGATCTTTGATCATCTCTTACACTTGAAGCACCAACATTTTGCACTAGCTTCAGTCAGAGTGCATCTTGCTGCAGTCTCCATGTTCCATCCCCTGATTCATTGTTGCTCAGTGTTCTCCCATAACATCACAAGCTGTTTTTTGAAGGGTCTGGAAAGACTATTCTCTTAGGTCCCAAGCCCTCTTCCCAGTGGAACCTCAATCTGATTTTGGCTAGGCTCACAGATTCTCCATTTGAGCCAGTGGTCTCTTGCCCCCTTTCACTTTTCGCTTTTTTTGTGGCAGTTACATCGGCCAGAACAGTGTCAGAGCTCGGTGCATTGACTTTGCAGTGGGGGAGTAGCTCCTAAACTTGCCGTGAGCCGGGACTGAGCCAGGCTTCTTGTCCGCCAGCTTCTAAATGACTTTCCCTGCAGAGGTGCAGTGGGTTAGCTTCTGGGAGCCTGTCACAAGCTGAGACTTGAGCTAGGCTGCTGACCAGCCCTCTAAAAAATTTACTGGCAGAGCTGTGGAGAGATAGGAGGGAGGCCGCAAGTGAGAATGCGTTTAGTCGGTAGCATTAACCAATAAGCTTTCTCTTATTGGTTACTTGTTTAACTGACTACACTATTATATTCCTAATTGACACTTGGGTTAAATCAAATTAAACATATAAAGGATGCAAGTCCCAATGATGCTTTTGGGACATATAAAGCAAATTCCAAACAGAAATAGGGGAAAAAACTTTCTCTGTTGTCACATCATTCTATAGCTACCTATTATGAGGATTCTGGATGCTTTCTGTCATACAGCTGCTCAGTGTCAGAGAAAGGATATCACACTATATGAATGCTCATTTTTATCCCATTTGGCTGCTCCTATCTTTGTTTTTTGGCTGCTTGAATTCTGATATGTAGTGAAGGTCTTGGTTTGTAACCCAATATGTGACATGTCATCCCATTTTTTTGTCAATTCCATGAAGTTCTTAGAAGTGTTTGTTACATACCTACACTTTCTAAAAGAAAATGCCCAGCGTTCGGGGCAGACGTGCAATAAACGGGAGTAAGTGTACAAGGGAATTAAAATTTAGCAAGAAAATTAAGTTTCATAAGGTAAAAAAAAAATCTTGTTTTGTGAAAAGTATGCTCAGTGTGCCAAAAGTATGTGGTTGTATCACTGGCAACTTTCACTATGATTTAGTAAGAAGATTGAAAACCCTTATATTAATGGAATTCATGATAAGCTATTTTACTGTTAAAACTGAAAAAACAACGAATAGTCTAGTAGCACCTTAAAGACTAACAAAACATGTAGATGGTATAAGCTTTCGTGGGTACAACCCACTTATTCAGATAACTGGAGTATTAAAAGTCCAGATCTAAGAATAAATAAGGGAGGGGTGGGGGAAGACAGTGAATATATTGTTCAAGTTACGTATTTTACTGTTGTTATACCCAAAACACTGCAGGCTCTGAAAATAAGATTTTGATTCCTTTTTTATATTAAACTGCAGAAAAATAAATCCCAGTAACAGTATGTCATGAGGTCTTTCAGTTTTTCAGGCACATACTCGTGAGTTTAGTATCCTTTTTGTGAGACAATAAGAAAGAAGCTAATCCTTCATATTTAATGTGAGGAGTGTAGTAATGATTTGTAATAAAACACTTTATTGGTAACGAAAAAACTGAATTAATCTTTGTCTTCTGTTCAGAGTCTGCATCTGTGGATAAGTCTGTATCCCATTCTTGCACAACTCCTTCCACATCTGCTTCTGGACTGAATCCAACTTCTGCACCTGCTACTTCTACAGTCCCAGTCTCACCTGTCCCACAATCACCAATTCCTCCATTACTTCAGGACCCAAATCTCCTTCGACAACTGCTGCCTGCTCTTCAAGCCACCCTGCAGCTTAATAATTCTAGTGTAGATATATCCAAAATAAATGAAGGTAAGATTTCTACACAAATTTAGTGTAATGTTACATTATAACTTTTATTGATGGAAATCAATGTATAACAGAATATAAAAATCAAAATAGTTGGGGTTCTGTTTAAAATAAGGGGAGTATAATTGTGTAACAGACAAATGAATACCTTGGCAAATTTAGCTGTGCTGTTAAGGTTTCTAATTTACATTTTTAAACTTGCCATAGAAGTTACTTTATAAACTATCTGATGTACCTACGTATTTTTTTCCCGGGGGACGACAGAGTGATGTCATCACGTCACTCTGCGTCTCACAGGAAAAGCTCCACCCACCCCCAGCCTGGCTCTTCCCAGGTCCCACATGGAGGACTGGGGGCTGCCTATGGCTCCAGTCCTCCCCTCCCCTCCTCTTCCCAGTGGCTGGAGGGAAAGCTGGGCCGGGGTCCAACATGACCCTCCCAGCAGGACAATCGGGCCGGTGCAGCTTGGATCTGGGCCCTCCCAGTGGTGGACAAAGGGAGGTCGGGGGCATGCCCAGCTCCTTCCAGTGAGACAACCAGGCCAGCACTGCTCAGATCTGGCCCCTCCTGGTGTGTGGGGGGAAAACCAGGCCCAGGATCCGGGGTTAGAGCCCAGCCTGGCGTGTGCCACCTGGCTGCTGGAGTTACTTAGGCTGTGGGGTGGGGTTGGAAAGGTGAAGGGGAGCCCTGGCTGGCAGAGGAGGGCGGGAGGCGGGGGGAGGAGGAAACGCTGGCTGGCAGAGGGGTACACTAGCTGTCGTGGAAGGAGGAGGGAGGCTGGGCCGGTGCAGCAGGGGGAGAGAGAAGGGCTGCCAGGCTGATGCAGCTGCAGTTTGGCCTTCCCTGGTGGCCGGGAGGAGAGCCAGGGTTGCCTTCTACCCGCGACGGGGGCTGGTGAATACAGCAAGCAGGAGGTACAGTCCCCTTGTAAAATGTAAATGCTTAATTAGCAAGATAATTTATGTTCATAAGAAGTCTCATTGAGATTGGGGACTTGGTTGGTTTTTGTTCCGTTTGGGACATATAGATGGCTGTCGATATGGAAAAGGGTAGGCTGTGTAACTTTAGAAATCTTTCTATAGGTGCTCCACTTCAGGTGTGCATGTACCCTACATTCCTTTGATTGGAGATTTGCTGTAGCAGTGCTTGTTTTTGTTTCCTCTGTACTCCAGACATCTTTGTTCCTCAAGCTGAACATATATTGATCTGTGCAGGATAACCATTGGCCTAAGATGGAGCATTTCGTGTTTTTCATAGCATTCACACTTACTGCAGCTTACCATAAATTGTTCAATTCAGTCCAGTTAGTTAGTTGTCGTTATTAGTTGGATTGATCCCTTTTCCATTTAATACTCTCTCTCCCCCACTTTTTGGAGAGGCATTTTTTAAGGATTATCATTGCATGTTATGCCATGTTTACTGCCTTCAAGTGCTGCCTTTACTGCTAGAAGTTCTTCATGATCAGTTGTTCTTGGTGCCTCTCTTGTTTAGAGAACACCCCTATATCCATTCTTTCTGCTCCTCTGAGGAATGTAGATAGACGGAGATTCTTCTGTTGCTTCTGTTCCTCCATAGCCTCAGAAAGAAACATGCAAAGAGCAAGAGGCAGCAGCTGACATAGGTAATCCCCTCCCCCCCACACACACACGGGCAAATCTTCCTTTAAATGCACCCACCACCTTCAGAAGCTGATGAAATGTATTGCTGAGTTGCCCCAGATTCCACTGGAGAAGGTTCAAGAGATGTAAAATGATCTTTTAGACATCTTGCATTCTACAGTCGCTGCTTGAATTTCATTACCAGTAAATTAAGCTCTTTTGAAACCTGCAAAAAAATTTCTGACCGACTTCTGTCATGGCAGGCCTCTCTCCCACCACCCAAAAAATTGACAAAAATTGAGTTTGTCCTTTCACCTACTGAATTCCTTAGTCTTGGACGCTGTCAGTGACTGTTACTTTTATCCAGCTGTCATCTTCAACTAAACATCATGATGTTCTTGCTTCAGGAATTTGCACCTGTACCGCCTAACCTACTTAACATCTTAAAAATCAGTTTTCCTGTTTTTTACCTGTCTGGGATAATATTACTTTTGACAAACGGTTTTGAAGGCTGTAACATCAGGTTACTCCATCTTACCCTACTGTTTTTCAGAGCCTCATGTAGCAAACTACCCATTATATTGCCCTTCTGCTTTAGAGATTCATTTCATGAAACTTACTGGTAGAGAAGGAACTGAGGGCAGTTTGCTAATACAACTGTATATCTCCTGTGTCCATATGTGTATGCACCATCAGGTTGTTTGGAGTACATGCATGGGCCAAATGGGTGCGGTTACTGAAAATCTCCAACGAAAGGCACATGAAATGTGTGCATATTTAAAAATGGAACACTAATAGGTTTTTTAATTAATGGAACAGAATCTTCTCTGGCTTTGTAGAACAAAAGAAGTGAGCTATAGAGCATTTGCATGTTTCCAGAGAGCAATGATACTTTTGCATTCTGACAAATGAGATGTGGACAGGTTTCAGAGAGGTAGCCATTTTAATCTCTTTCAGGAAGAGCAACAAGGAGTTTAGTGGCACCTTAAAGGCTAACAAATTTGTTAGGGCATAAGCAAAACAATGGAAATAACTTAAAAACTCTCAAGAGGCCCTGATTCAGTATTGTCTAGATCAGGGGTGAATAATAATTTTTGTAGAGGGGCCACTTCACCATTTTTGGTAGTGGTTGTGGTCTGACACTGGAAGGGGTGGGGCCTTAGGCAGAAGAGGCAGGGCTTCAGGTGGAACTGGCGTGTCCTTAGTGAGGAGGAGACTTCACATGCTCCCCCGTGGGGCGAAGCATGTGAGGTCCCCCACTCCACCCTGCCAGGGGCGCACAGCACCCAGAGGGAACCACCAGCTATTTTGAACAACTGTCAGTTCCCTCTGGAGCCACACACCTCTGGCGGGGGGGCGGAGAGGGGGAGAGACGTGGCCCACTCCCTCCCCGATTGTCCTGGAGGAGCACATGAAGTTTCCTGTTCAGCTGGGGCATGTGATGCCTAGAGGGAACAGCCAGCTGTGGTGCCGTTTTGCACCACGCAGCCCTAGCGGGGTGAGGAGACTTTGTGTGCTTTCCCATCCCCCAGTCTCAGTTGGCCTGGGAGCAGCAGGGTGGTGCTACATCAAATGGCTTGGTGGGCTGGATCTTTCCCACCCCTGTCTAGATCAAGGCACAATATATGGCCTTTTGATCTATGTATTCTAACGTTATTTAAGTTTTTAAGTTCATCTTCAATCATTCATCGGCAGTTAACACTTTGTGTATAGAATCCATATTGCAGTTAGTGAAAATCAGTCCACTTATTCAGATACCTAAATGTGGATTTTGGAGGGTAGCTTTAAGCACCCATATTAGACAGCCTTTGTTGTGCTTTGCTTTACAATTTTGAACATATTTTATGTTTGAACCAAAATTTAGAGAACAGTACTAAAACTTACTTCTTGTTAGTTCTTACAGCAGCTGTAACACAAGCCTCTCTGCAGTCTATACTCCATAAGATTCTTACTGCTGGACCATCTGCTTTCAATATTACTTCTCTGATTTCTCAAGCTGCACAATTGTCTGCTCAAGGTATTTCAAGAATCACTTCTTGTTATATAAAAATGTCAGATTACATTCTACAAGGGTCTGTATAACTATAACTTAACGACAATGCTGGTAATGGAACTTCTTATCTAAAGTTGTATGTTACCCTCCCTTTGAGGGTAGGATGTCTGATGCACTAGAAGCTGAAGGCTTATGTAAATGTAAGATGTGACAGTAGCCTATGCTCAAGGAATAGTTGGTTGATGGACTAGATTAGTTGAACTCTATTCTGTCTTAACTTCTCTAATTTTCTAACTTGACAAATAATGTATGGGTAAATGCCAAACTCTTTTGGGGGAACTTGGCATTTATGTGCTATGTGTTTATGATCAAAGGTTTAGATTAATATATTGCATGGAGGAAGTACAGAATATTTAGCATTGAATACCTGACTCTGGTTTCTTACTAACACCTTTTTCTCATGATACTTCTGTGTTTTTGATCAGTAGAGGCTCTTAACCTGCTGTCTGTCAATTTAACCTTGAACCTCATTTTAAGTGAGATTGTGAAACTGTATTTTTTCTGAGAGGGATTTTTTACTCTCAAATGTATTTCTTTACCCCTGTCACTTTGGTCTTCTAGAGTTTTGATGTTAACTACTTGGTGCAATACAAACTCTGTTTTTGGGTAATTTGGGGAAGATGCTAGTTTATATATAGTAGAGCCGTGGTCACCAACCAGTAGATCGCGATCTACCGGTAGATCTCAGGGGCTCCAAGAGTAGCTCTTGAGCCCTCTCTGAACTGCGTACCTGCGCAGTACATTTACATTAGATTTCCTCATGTAATGTGGGCGGGGCTTCAAAGAAGGGGTGGGGCAGTAGATCTTCGCCTGTTCTGAGACTTAAAAAATGATCTTGGGTGTAAAAAGGTTGGAGACCACTGCAGTAGAGTGACAGATTGAATGGTACTTGATAAAGTTGTGCGATGGAGTAGCAGAGGGTTGTGATCTGTGTGGGTAGGGTTTTGGTTTTTTACTACTTCAGAATTGAAGAACCTACTGGAAGCTTTGAGTGCGTTTTATTTTCCCTGAAAGGTTGAGGGCCTTCAGTAGCTGCTGCATATATATTTTGTTCTTCTAGAGAAGTATTTTAGAAAAATTTTTAGATTAATTGGATTGAGCATTTTAGTGTTACTCAAAATTCGTAAACTGAAATTCTTCTCTGCACATTTAAAAGTCCGGACTTCCAGAAGTGCTTAGCAGTCTGAATTGAAATCATATTTGTCAAAAGAGCTGTATCTGTATAAATACCTAAATAAATTTGTGAGATTTTTCAAAAGTGCGCAACATCCAATAGCTTTTGCTATTCTCAGAAACTGAGCATTTTTGAAAATTTGACCACTTTGTAACTTCTCTTCTGATCACTTAGGTGGCTCTATTTTTTCTTTGGATATTGAGAGAGTGTTATTTTATTATGCATTTTCTTCTGAGTTTCCTTTCTTGTTAAGCAGCTTTTACGCTTAGTTAGAAAAAAAAATACTATAAATTACTGCAATTTTACTTTTTTAGCTCAGCCATCTAATCAGTCTCCAATGTCTTTAACATCGGATGCCTCATCACCAAGGTCATATGTTTCTCCAAGAATAAGCACGCCTCAAACCAATGCAGTTCCTTTGAAACCTTTGATGAATACACCCCCTGTATCATCACAGTCAAAGGTAGGATGTTTAATGAAGTATGTGCAAGTGGTAACAGTAAAGAACTGAATGGTGGTACTATAAGATTCAAAGAAGTGATAAAGAAACCATAGACAAAAAAATTGTAAATTAGTGATGAATAATTACGTATAGATACATAAGCATATTGATATAAGCCACAAAAGCTCTTTTGTCAGTTTAAAATGAAGAGCACAAAGAGGTATTATTTTCTTTAAAACTGTTCATGGTACTGTTCAACTTCTGTTAAAAGCCTGACTGGCATTATGTAGTTTGATGATTTCCGGTGATGTGTTTTTGAACAGAATGTTTGTCATTGTCTGACTTTTCCGCTTCCCCTTTTTTTCCTCTTCTGATTTTATTCTAATTTCACTCAGCTGTCAAACTGTCTGGAATAGCTCATGAGCATGAGAGCCAACCTCAATACATACGGTTACAAACTAGGACACGGACCCTAAACTGGTTGTGAGTTCTGTACTTGGATTTCTCCAACCAATTTAAGTGTGATTTTTTTCAAGCACAGTAACAGCCTTAACATGGGGTCACAGACAGTCCCCTTGGGGACTCTAGTCTGTCTTGCCACCCCAGGCAAGTCTGTCTTTGTGATAGACAATCCCTTACACCAAAAATTACAACAATATTCAGGTTACTTTCAGACCCAAAGGACCAGTCACTTATCCTGGGTCAGTTGCATTCTAGATCTCTCATCAAACACAGAGCTTGTAACCAGTTGAGAAAATGAAATGTTATTTCCAAGGTTAAAGCAGATGAATATAAACACAAATGAGTTAGTCTTGGGTTCGAAAAGATAATAGAAAAAGCTATGTTATGTAGGTTTTTTTATGTTTTCTAAAGGTGTAACCCAAGGTGAGCAACTAGGGGATCTCTTACTTAGGCTTAGAAATATTGCTCTCTACCAGTTCCAAGCAAGATAGTGATATAAATATTTCTTGTCAGTTCTTATTCTGTTCCCCCAGAGTTAAAACTGATGTTTACATCCATCTCCTCTTCATGGATGGATGTGTTATGGGTGCAGTCAACAATATCTTTAACTTTGATATTTCACAATAGCTCATTTGACTTCTGGTGTGTAGAACCAGCACTTTATTTTAATAATACTTGTTTCCTGTTGGGTGAGTTACACAGTTTCAGAGGTTTACACTATGAACTCTCTATACACTTTTGCACTGTGGAATACAGATAAATGATGTCAGCAAATGGAGCATTCTACAAGCAATTCATCAAGTCTAAACATGCTCATTTCAACCATTATTAAAACAGATGTTGACACATAGGTGAGCCAGACTAGTTTTTAGCTATGTGTATGTCAGTGTTCATTCATACCTAAGGGCTGTCACCTAGTCTTCCAACATCACAAGAGTACGAAACAGAAAATCTACAGCTATATTTGGCTGCCACTTCTCTCTCAGAAGGCTGAAACAAGTCTTCCTCCTGACCCACCGTCTGTGGTGTCTCTTGCAGTTGCACTTGCTCATCAGACCTTAATCTACCCCCCCCCCCCCAACCCTCTCAAGAAGAATTGGCATTATCATGGTGAACGAGGCAGTGTGTAAAGTGATTTCTGGAGCTAACTGACAAAACTAGCCTATTAGTTTACTTAAATGGTGAGAGAAATGCCTTCATACGATCATACTTGTTACTTGAGCTAGCATCTTGAAGAGCGTTCCGGGCTGTGATCAATAAAACAAGTTTGTATGAAGAAAGACACTTACACATGTTGAAAAAAGCTTTTTCTGGTGCAAAAGAGGAGCCTCAGACTTTGTGAAGAAGTTTCTCCCAGACTACTATAAAGTAAGAGATCATCCATTTTTTCTGGACAGAGAATTGTTTGAATGGATCAGCAACCAAAAAACTAGACTTTGGACAAACAGCACCCCTCAGTGGTAAGAGAGAGGCCCTTTCCCGACTTTTTCAAAGGCATTTTCCTCAGCCCGAAGTATTTGCTGAGATTTATCCAAGTAGGTCTCAATTATTGTTTGTTCTGGGCTTCCAGACGAGGCCTCAAGATCAGTTGAGACAAATTTGTGCTCACCCTGCTAAATGTGTAGTTTATAGGGGCAGAACTGGACTTGGGGTCAGCAAAAGCATATCTTCCTCAAGGAAGACTTTTTCCACGATGGACTTCTCTTTTCATACTTTTACTCTTGTCAGAGAGAGATTCTGTGAAAGTCTGTATATAGCATCATATGACAACTCGTGTGACTCAGGATGCAAGATTGTGCCTCCAGCCCAGATGAGAAACCAATCTTAATCAATATACACAGGATGGACTTACCTGTATAAGTTCCTCTGAAAGTGCTGACATTGCTAGCTTCATGGGCTGATGAAAATCTGCCAGATATTTTTCATACTTTCTTTAGTGCTTGCTCATGTCCATTCAACTTAGGTTTGTGTACTTGCTACGTGCACCAGTGCCAGAAGTTTTCTCTAAGCAATATCCATAGGGGACTTAATTTAGTGCCCTCTGGAGTTAGGTTCTCATGCCACAGTAACAGTGACGAACTGTTGCTGCTTCAGCTAGAACTGTTATTTCTTGTTCATACGAACTTGTTTAACTTTTGTATTATAGTGCATATAGATTCCGTTAGTGTTAGTAGCCCTAACAAATTGATAGACTTCACAAGCCCCATATGGGATACTGCCTCAGGATGAGGCATACCCTGGTCCCCAGGCTTTAAGCCCTGTGATTGCTTAAAAAGGCCAGTGCCCATTACTGATCCACATAACAGCTATTTAGGCTCCTCTGTTCTAAAACTGTCTTGGACTACTTGTTGACTTTGAAACACTCAGGACTCCATTATTCTTACTAGCAGTCACCTATCTACTATATTAGCACATCACCCATCTGAGCAATTTGATTTTTTTCTTGCTCTATGGTATGGAGATTTCAAAAAAGATTGACTTATGTATTTTCATGATTAAGAAGCCATTTGCTATTTGGGACTAGAATGTGGTGATTCCATATTGTCCTGTTAATTATATAACTTCTGTATAAAAACAGCTTTTAGGTAGTCATCACATTGGCTCACAGGAAGATCAAAATTCAGGCTTTTGGCAAGCCTTCCAATAAACTATGTCATAAAGATATTTCCTCTCAGGCCTCATCCAAAAGCTTTACCAAAAGTGGTTTTCGATTTAAAAAAAGCAATTTATACATTTTGCCAGTATTTTTCCTAAACATCATAGCTCTCTCGCATAAGCTGCATTTCACACTCTAAAAATTCTTAAGGCTTTTGTCTCTTTAATCTTACCAGAACAAAACCATTCTGTGAATCATCCAGACGTGTTGTGGATTTTGGTGACAAGTATAAACTTTTTCCTCTGCCTTTGAGTGGGTTACAGACTACATTAAGATTTCTTATGCATTATATTATTATATATTACATCTTTCTCAATGTAGGACTCAGTCTGCCAGGGCTCAGTAAACATGTTATTTCCAAGATTTATCAGGTTCCTACTTTGAGTTCTGTTCATATGTTTACTAATCACTATTCCATTGTGTAAGATTTTAGATCACAAGTCCAGTTTGGAGGGGTTAGATCTCTTTTCATCAGCCTCCTTGAGGGGTTATTTCTAATCTGCCACCCCACAATGACATTCAGATAGACCTGTTTGAAGAAAGTTTACTTAGCTTACAGTAACTGGAGTTCAAGATACATTTTTTTTCAGTTGGATGCTCTGATTCACCTTCCTTACTTGTTGATACTTGATCCTCACCTGGATATTTTGTATTGGTGAAGAAATAGTGGTGATAGAGGTTGCTTTGCCCTCTGTGTACTACTTGTAGTTGACACAAAGGTGAACAGTGGCACATGTGCAACATCCGCAGATGCAGCTGCCTAAAAGATTTCAAGCTTGTGCGACTGGAGTGGGGTCAGTGCAAATAAAAACAAAACTTCCACTTACTCTAAAGTAAATACCATCGTGACAATGAACTTCTGCATATTCAGAGTTGCTACTCACTTGTCTCACTTAAGGGTTTTAGTTTGGGAATTTCCATGTTAGTGGAATGAACAGAAAGGAGCCCTCTGGTAAGGGAGAGAAAAGGAAGGAGAAGCAGGTGTCTCTAACAGACACTGATCTCAGGATGACTGCAGTGGCTTGCAGTGCAGGCACCTTGATTTTTTAAGTGTGATTATCCAGAGACTTATCTCGAGCTCTAGTTACTGGTTTGGGAAGAATTAATGTAATCGCATCAGGGCCAAACTGATACACATTTTTTATTTTGAAAATGACTTTTTCTAATAGAGATGTCATAGTTGTTACTTAATTTGTCTTGGTATTCTCAAAAAATTATTGAAGGTTCCTATTTGAAAATGTAGAACTACGGCATTAGAAGCACATCACAGTGAATAATACCTTTTCAACGTGAACCATGGCATAGTATGGCAGATGTTGTGTTAGAAGCAATGCTTTGGAAGAATGATGTTTGACTTTTAGCAATTAAAAATTAGAAGGTTATGTCGAATTTATCCAAAGAAATTGGTGATACCAGTGCTGAGGTATTGAGGATGATAGCAGTTGGCTTTTATCCAAGTTAAATTTTAAAGAAATGTACGTTTCATGAAATGAAAGTTCTGTCAATTCAGAGCCAGGAAAGAAATGGGATTTACTAGACCATCCTATGAGACTTAAAGTACTGGACTTGCGCAATGCCAAACTAGAGAGATCGTTGATCTGATTGTACCTGGTAATTCCTGTGTTTGTTTCTTGAAAGTTCATAAGCTTGAGATTTATGATGCAAAGGAAATATGACCAAGTTTTGAACATTACAGGTTACTACTCCAGGTGTTAAGCAAGGACCAGCTTCACAGTCAACACCTCAGCAGTCGGTAATAGCTGACAAGCAGGCAGGTCATGAGCCCGCCTCTCCTCGAAGTCTTCAGCGCTCGAGGCAAGTTGAAATATTTGCATTGGTTTGTTGCTAGAACTCTGGATATAACATATATTCATTACAACTATTGAGCTTGTTTTTTTTTGGTATATTTAAGATCACTATAAAGCATATTAATTAGCTCTGCTATTGCTGACAGGACACAGCTACGTAACTTGTTTATTACGCCTCTCTGTTTGGCTCCGCAGATCTCCACTTTGAGTTATGTGTCCTGCCAGGTGAACCACAGAACCATTCACAGCAGCAAAATTGAGGAGTATACATTAGTGATTCTGGTTCATCATTCTGGAATTGAGAGTACAAAGGATCCCATCCTCTAAACGTGCTTCATTTCCTCTTTATCTGTCAGTGCAGTTACAGGACAAAATGCTGTGCTTGGCACATTACTGGATTGCTGTTTCTTTAGAAGTTCATGGTTTCTTGTTTTGGTATTCATTTTTAAGTGAGTTTTTAGTGAGTTGACAACTTCTGTTCACTATGACTTTGTTGCTTTAGTAGTACACTTTAAAAAGAACAAATTTCACAAAATGCTCTTTTCTGCTCAAAATGTATTTCACCAACATCCAAACTCTGTCTGAAATGTTTGCTTGGTGTGTGTATACAAATGCTGCCTGTGATTGTAAGGCACATGGGTGTTTGCCTCCTGCACCAACCTTTCTTTTGGAGGAAGACTTGGAGTCCAAGGATCTATGGGCAAGTTCTGTTGTGAGGAATTGAACATGTGATTCAAAGTTTGACTTCTAAAACCAAGAACTTGTCTTAGTAGCCATCTGGAGTGGACTCAATGTCTTCAGAGTCTGAAGATGCAAAGATTCCAGGAAGCATTGAAGTTCTTTTAAGGCTTGGATTTACCAGTCTCTGAAAAGCAACTGCACAGGCATCTTCTAGGTCAACAAAACTAGGGTGTTTTTAGAAGTTGGGTAAGGTGTCTGATCTGAAGATTGATTCTGATTGTATCTTTGTATGGATGACTTGCTTAAGTCGTTGGGATGCTGAATGAGGCACTTTGGATATGAAATGCTAGCTATGGACCTCTTTACCACAAGTCTGTATTAAGATTTCCCTCTAGAACAGACAGGGTTCTGAACCGAGCGCTGTTTCTTTTACAGTGCAGAAGAAAGGACTCTGTTATGCCTTTCTCCATCACATCCTCTGTTACCAAAGATTCTGCTGTAAGTAGAGGCTTTGGCTTGTCTTTGGAATTTACTGTCTGAGTTAGAGAGGAACTGTGGGTGCATAGTCTGTCCCAGATTTCAGCATCCAGTGATAGTGCATACACTCTTGAATAAATTTACTATTTTAAATGGTTCTGTGGCTCATGCTTCAGGGCACGTGACTCCAAGTGGTGGATCTGCACAGGCAGTATATTCTGGGAACGATGGTAACTTTTCTTTCCCTGTTGAATTTCTAATGGCACTTAAAATTTAATGTGACTATTATATATGTATATCCATTTCTCAGTTTATATTTACATAGCTTCTTATACCAAAAATAACCTTTTTTGTGTTTTCAATATTGCATATACAGCTGTGAATATTAATGAACTGCTGCTAAATACAGTACTAACCACTTCTATGTACCCTTACAAAACAATGAGTTAATTACCACTATTTCCAATAAAGTAAATCAAAATGATTAGCATAAATTATCATATATAACCTGCGGGTTATACACATTTTTTACAAACCCCTCCATTTTTATTTACAAGCAGTTTCTCTGCTCAGAGGAGGGTGGGTTGTGCCTAGCTGCGGCTCCACGGGGCCTGGGCTCCCCTCCCCCAGACCGGTCAGCTTGCCTGCGCTGTGTTTTCTGCTCTCCCTCCTGGAGGAGGGTGGGTTGTGCCTTGCTGCAGCTGTGCTGGGCCTGGGCGTGAGTGTGAGTGTGGTAAAGGCTGTGAGTGGATGAATGCAGCAGCCATGGGGCTATACCCGTTTGTGGGTAATCTAAGGGCTTTTTATACAAAAAAGAAAAATTGCGGGTTATACATGGGTGTGTGTTATACATGGGTGCGGGTTATATTTGTAAAGTACGGTAGTTGAAAGCCAGATAACTTTCTCATCTACCTATTCTAAAAGTATAGTAAGTTAGATTTTTGACATAAAAATCTTGAGCATCCTTTTGTTTCTGTAATACCTTAGGGGAATCCATGGTATCTGACAGGTATAGTTAAACTAAAAGGAGCTACTGAAATCTAGAGACTTTAAAATCTAAGGAAAGGACAATTGATTTTATCAGTTAACTCCATTTTAGTTTTTCAGTATTTAGAATGATTCATAATTATATTTTTCTGTATCAGTCTGCATCTTAACTTCGCTTTTAGAACTGAAACTTTTAAAATATCTTAAAATAGTTTAAATATCTGGTGATACCTGCAGACTGTTCTTTGACTTACTTTGATTTTTAAAACTTGAAAAAAATTTAGAGGTGTGAGGTATACAGTTTTTTGTGTGTCATGGTACTGTGAAAGACATTCACATTGGCATAATAGAACAGCAACAATGGGCTATTCTTAAAAGAAAAATATGGGATAGGAGGAATCCTATTTAACCTACAGTAATCACGTGCACTTGTTAGAAAAAACTGAGGCAAAACAGGCTTTTGTCTATATTTTGATATCTGTTTATGAAGCAGAAAGCTTAGTACAGTAAAACTCCCAATAGTCCGGCACTCCTGATAGTCCGGCATCAAAATGTCAAGAGCCTAGTGAGTGAGCTTCGGCAAAAAATGAGTCACAAGGTAACACGGCAGCAGCTGAACTGAGCAAGAAGGGTAAAAAAGGCTTAAAAAAACTAAAACATTACAGTATATTGTATACAGTATGTACAATAAAAAGGGTTAAGAACACTTTATATACAATATATAATGTATAAAGTGTATATATATAACCATCTTATAGTACCTCCTGATAGTCCGGCATATTTGATAATCCGGCACCGCCTAGGTCCCATAGGTTCCGGATTATCGGAAGCTTACTGTATTTCTTTTTGTGGCAGGAATACTAAAGAAAAAAGATTTGTCCAAAAATAACTTTACTCAAGCGTGGTTTATTTTAAAAAGAAAATCATTTTAACCTGCTATCTTAATACCTTATGTCATGGGGTGGGTACACCTGTGCCCCTCAGAGGCAGGGTGGTGGGCCTTTAAAGGGGGGGGAAGAGACAGAGTGTGTGCGTGTCCATGTCCCCCTGTAGATCCAGGCCTCCCCTGAGACAGTCTGGCCTAGCGTCCACCATCAGGAGGGTAGTGAGCCCCAGCAGCCAGAGTTAATAGTAACACTCCCTTCCCCCAGGGCAGTGAGGCATTGTGAGCAAGGTCAGTTCCCACTCTCTTCACTCAGGACTGTGAGGCCTAGGGGCTAGAGCCAGTAACAACCCTCCTTGCTCTCAGGGCAATGATGTCTAGTGGCCAAAGTCAGTAGCAACACTTGTAGCATGTCCCTCCCCTTGGTGGTTAATGGGGGTAAGGCAGGAGGACCCGGGTCCACCCTTTCCACCGGGTCCCCACCCTTATGGTCCCACCATTAGCTCAGCAGAGAATCTGCCCCAAACATGCTAAGCTCTTGATGAAGTCACGTCCCATCCTGGGCCTCTGTCTCAGTCTATCTGCAGCTCTTCCTCCAGAGCTGTGGCAGCACCTCCTTCCTTGGTGACAGTCAACCCAGACTAAGCTGCTCCATTGGCCTTCATTAGGGATGTCAGATATCATATAATCGAATAGTCATGTAACTGCATAAAATATTTTCAGTTACATAACTATTTGATAGTCCCCAGGGGCAGGGACGGCAGCAAGTGCACTCCAGCCGCACTCCCGGAGAGCCCACTACCACCCTTGCTGATGCCTCTCTCTGAGGCTTCAGTGTGGGGTGGCAGGCAAGAGATGGTCCGTGAGGGGAGCCAGTTTAAAAACCAGCTCCCCTCGCAGACCAGTTGCCTGCTGTCCTGTGCTGCTGCTGATGCAGAGGCAGTAGCGTAGGATGGCAGCAGCCCCTGTCTACGGGGGTCCAAGCTCCCCACGGACTGAGTCTGCTCTATCTGCGGGGAGCTTAGATCTCCTGTGGACAGAGAGGTTTTGTGCATACCAGCTCCACAGACCCACCTGCCCTTCCTCTCCCTGCCTCCTACAGAGACAGTGAGGGGGAAGAGGCAGGAGCTGGTGCTGGGGGAAGCAGCTTAAAAGCTGGTACCCCACAGCACCAGTTCTGCAGTGCCACCTACCCCTCTCCCCCCCATGTTGTTGCCTCTATCAGAGGCAGCAGCGTGGGAGGGAGGGTCAGATCTGGAGCTTGTGAAGAGCCTGCTTGAAGCCAGCTCCTCACTGGTGCTGGCTCCCACTCTCCCCAACTTTGCTGCCTCTAACACAGAGGCAGCAAGGGGAGGGGGGGAGTGCTTGTAGTTGATAAGATTAACTGATAAGCCTAGGTTTATCGGTTAATTGTTTAGTCTAGTAAACAGTTATCCCTAGCCTTTATATCTCTCCTCCAGCTGGAGTATGCCTAGCAGGGCTGCAGGGGCAGGGATCTCTCAGCCCAGGCCAAGCGTGGTGTTGGTATACCCTTTCACACCCTGTTAAATAATTTTAAGATTAAAATATGGTAAAGAATAGTAGCTAAAAAGTTGGTAATATTTTAAATTTTGATCCACTGTTTATATGTTCAGGGAAACAATTCCATGCAGAAACAAGTGAACATAAAACTTTCTCATTGTCAAGTAGGTTTGTTTCTTTATATAAACGTATTGGGCCTGGTAAAAGTCTTTCTGTAAAATCTGATTATAGAGAAGGTTTGAGAATGATTGATACTTCTAATTATGGAAGCATTGGTTTTGGTTCCCTAATTAAGGTTGTATCAGGATTTTTCTTTTAATGGTATCTTTTCAGTTTTCTAATTCTGTTCTGGCCCTTAAAAAATATTGATGCTATATACTTTAGGTAGCATGTTTACATTTTCTAAGTTATCGTTGGTCTGGGAAGTTATTGTTAAATTAGTATTTCAAATATCCCTTTCCCCAGATTTTGAAACTGAGTTTTGCTTTCGTTTAACATAAGTTTGGTTTACCATGGTGCACAAAACTCTTATTTTTTTTAATAAATGTGATAATTAGGAAGCCAGTAGCTATAAAAATAGATAAGAGAATGGCAGTTATTTTGCAAGTAACTGTTTGGTATTGCTGTAATTACAGCTCCATTTATTAGCATGTCAGTGCTACCTGGTCCTGTCCTACGGCGTGTAAATCTTGCTTAAGTTATCTTGCTTTGTTTTTCATATGTTTTGGTTTTATTGAGGGAAGTGACATAAGGTAAGTGTCTCAAGTTAAGGATTCTGTTGTAAACTGATAATCCCAAGTAAACAGGAATCACGTTAGCCAGGATGTAAGTTAAAAGGGAAAAGAAACAATGAATTGTTATCCTTACTAGGACACTTAAAGAGAATACTTCAGTCCTTCCAATATAATAGATGCAGTCTCTTTTCTTCAGTGTCACGATGCCCTACAAAAATAGAGAATTTCTTGTCCAGAAGTACATTGAGTTGTGAAACTTGGTATTTGCCTCTTCTTCCCTCCCCTGTTGGAGTTTTGGGCCTCAGTGAGTGATTTAGCTTTGCTTGCCCAGGGTCTCTTGATAGCTCACCAGGCAGCCACATGTTAAGTATTGGTCTCAGACCAAGGAACAGGTGGCTGAATACTCAATGGTGACCATGTTCAAACACTTCTTGTTGAATGACCGTGACTTTTTGCAGTACATCTTGGTTTGTTTTAAACTCCTAGTAAACTTGTATATAGGGGAAAAGTGTGCATATTCACACTTCACTTACCCATGAAATGCATCCACATCTATGGTGACACATGAAATCTTAAAACAACTAACATTGAAATAGTTTAGGACAGGAAGAAAAACGATGTGTCCAGTAGACAAGTAAGAAAAATGCAATTATCAGAACATAACAAGTACACAAACACCGTACCATACGCTTGTGAAAAGTGCCATAGGACATATTAATCAAAAGTGGTTGGAGTATCAGTTTTAATAATGTTAAATGTTGTGAAGTTTGTAGAGGTTTAATTGATTTGCTACAGATTTTATAAATACTTCAAAAATGTGTTTTTAAATCTTTTATTTCCTTTTACCAGTAGTCAGAGAAGTCCATCACCAGCTCCAAATCATACCTCCAGCACTAGTGCATCAAATTCAGCGACTGCACCACAGAATGCGTCTGTTCGGCCTACATGTTCATTAACACCTACACTAGCAGCACACTTCAATGAAAATCTTATAAAACATGTTCAAGGCTGGCCTGCAGATCATGCAGAAAAGCAGGTGGGTACACATTCAGATTATGTTGAAAATATACACTTTCCTGTGAAGGTACTAGGAGTCTTTCTTAATACCATAATAATTTATTACTTTGAACATGTCAGGTGAGAAGTATCTATCTGCTACTAAAGAGATGGTTTTAGCTGTTCAAATAGAACATCCCGTGGAATAGGTGCAGTTGTAGTTATCATAAAAGCTAGTGATTTTTCAAGCCATGGGTAATTCAAAACTTGTATGTATTTGGTAGAACTATTAGGTTTGTATTTGAGCTTTGACATTTTTTCAGGAATGTTTCTGCATGTGGCTGCATTGATAATTCAGTTGTAATAGAGCTACTGGAGAAATCTTTACAAGCGCATTTAGGCCATTGGGATTCCATATGTGTATACTCAGCTTTCAGACATAACAATTTACTTCTGAATTTCTGTTTCTACCACTACAGTGCTATTTGAGGGTACATCTACACAGCAACATTATTTCAAAAGTTATTTTGAAATAACGTCTAAATATTTTCAAGCAGGAGGACTTCTTACTCACTTCTGTAACCCTCATTATATGAGGAGTGAGGGAAGTCGGAGGAAGAGTGCTATTTCGAAATAAGTGCTGTGTAGATGCTCCCAATTTTGAAATAAGCTACGCAATTGATGTAGCTCAATTTGCATAGCTTATTTCAAGTTAAGACCTGCTGTGTAGGTGCACCCTAACAGTTCAGATATACAGTGAGATAGAGTCCTTGTGCTGTTTCAGACTACTGTCAGTACTTTTTCTTTATATACATTACTTCATTGTATATGAAATATGCCTATCTACCTGTTAAATTTGAGTTATAGTTGGGCGTATTGTATTTTAAGGGTTAATGAAAAGTAATCCCCAAACTAAGCATTGTGAATCCAGAAAAAAATTCTGAATTAGTTACCTCAATCATACTAAGAAAGGGAAAAGCACAGTTTGTGTTAGGATTACTTGGGTAATCCTGTAGTGACATCCTGAGGAGAAGCGCTGAAAATAAAAAGTTTAAAAATCAGCTTAATCTAATCTGGGACTACAAATACTAATATGCTTAAATCATAAATTATTTTATGGTGTCACATTGTCTGTTGGTGTGCCTTTAATTGTGCATTTCCATACCATTAGAAAAACCCAACAGACTTTTCCCTTCTTAGTGTTTGTGCCATTGTAATATTTGCTTGGCGTTGTCTTCATTCTTGTTTGATGAATTAATACAGACTTTATTATTTTAATCTTCTACAATTGTTCTTTCAAACTTCCTTCTCGTTTCTTATAAATCCATTAGTAAATCCACATTTTTTTCTACCAGGGTATCCAGTAACTATAGTAGCGTATCACTAATTTGAAAAGTTCTTGTCACTTTGGTCTCTCATATGTTGCTATGATTTCACTTTTTCTGTCCCACCATAATGCATATGCAAGTCCATATACACACTTTGTGTTTTGCCCAATGGCTCATTCAGTGCTGCTGCTTTTTAAATAATTCTCTTGTATCACATCTTTGTTTCAGATTATTTTTTCAGTTTGGACATTCCTTTTTCTGCCTATATTGTGCAGTAAGGTATTCCACTTGTAATTTCTTTATCCCAGCACTTCAGCTATGTAAACTATTTTGTCAGTACCATGTTGTTTCCAGGCTGGTTCAAAACTTATTTAGAAAGAAAAGCTTCAGGGGGGTAGCCGAGTTAATCTGTAACTAGAAAAACTTAAAAGTTTAAGTTTTAAGGTTTTTTTTTAGAAAGAAAAGTTATTCAAAGACAAACTAAGATGCTGTGTGAAATTAAATATATTGCATCCTTCTACATTCCATTCCCTTTGTCTGTTACTTTGTCATTTAATTCAACAATGATTGGGTCTTGCACAATCTATCCATATTAGATGTTTATATTAAGACTGTTGAAAAAAATTTAACATTTTCTTATGATTTGGCTTTCCCGTTAAAATTGTAATGGCCTCCCCATTAATTCTTTTTTAATCAGAGTTCAGTCTCCTTGGACTAGGTCCATTAGCTTCTAGTAAGTAACCTGAAATCCAGGCGCTAACTTTCTGTTTATTTTTTTATTTAATTCCTGCAGGCATCGAGATTACGTGAAGAAGCCCATAATATGGGAAGTGTTCATATGTCAGAAATTTGTACTGAATTAAAAAATTTAAGATCTTTAGTTCGAGTATGTGAAATTCAAGCTACGTTGCGTGAGCAAAGGTAAGTGTTTGGGCCCCTACCTTCAAATTATTTTTAAATTGCGTACTCTGGTTTCCTGTTTTGTGCAAGATTGGTTTACTGACAGCTTAAGTTTAGGTATATTTGCCTTTTTCAAGTATAAAAGCTACCTTGCTTGGTATACATTTTAACTATTTACCACACAGATACCTCTTAATCTCCAGTGAATAGATTAGCTATGCAATGTCTGTACATCTTTTTATTAAATGGGTAGAAAAAAATTGTTCCACATTAACATAATAGATAAATCCGAGCAGTGTACACAAATTTAGATGCTGCTTACAAAATATCTAGTTATGAATAAATCATGTGTAAATTTTGTATAATTTATATAGTTACACTTTATATGACTTCTGGGCATGAAGTATTTATTAGGTCTTGAGCCACAGCAAGTTGAACTGCTCTTGTATGATTTTACAAGCTAAAGAAAGTTAGTTCTTGACAGTATTCAGAGGAAACCTCCTTCTCCCTTCCCCCCTCCCCAATATTTCAAGTGTCTTCAGTAAATACTGATGACATTGTCACCTTTTGAGTTATTATTGGCCAATGGCTCTTGCATAGAGCCTAGTACACTGAGCTGTTAAAAATACCACCATGATAAGGCATAGTTTTTAAAAAACTTGGATTTTTACGATGGATAGTTTTTTCTAAATTATTTTTCACAACGGAATGTAAGAGATGGAGATGGCAAGTCCAGAAAAAGGAAGCTTTGTGCAAGTCTGGGATTTTCAAAATTTTCCACAGTATTTGGGTATTTAGATCTTTAATCTCCGGTATAGAAACAACTCAAAATGTATAAGTTGTTATTCTTGAAAAACACATCTGTGCTTCTTCTTTAGACAGAGCAAGTGTTTCTCTTGTGTGTCATTTGGAGCAACAGAACACCTTTCCATTGAGTGTGTGAAGTGGCACTCTGTTAGTTGCACACCCATTGTGTTCTAAATGTGTAAACTGCATCTCTGGTTATTTTCATCTGCATTATAATATATTAAGGTTCAAAGGGCAGTTGTTTTCATTGCCCTTAATTGGATACATTTTGGAAAATATGTTTCCAAAATTCTGCTAAAATAGTATGCTTTTCAGTCACTTAAAATTATTGCTGATTATGGAACATTTGTATAAAACAAGATTTCATGAATATCTTGGCACCTACATAAATCATTCATTACCAACCTACAAAATACATGTTAGTTATGAAAAAGCAAGTTTTATGTAAGTTCAGTAGAAGAAAATGATTTTTATAGTGGGTGCACCAATGAAATTGTCAGCCCTAAAATTTAAACTGTCATGACACCTTTCTTTATATCAGTGCCCACAAGGATTCCATTGTTTTTAGACAGACATTTGCTCTAGAATAGAAAATACCTTTTAAAAAATTCTGTTCTACCATTATAATGGTAAGAGTGTATAAGGTTAGAATGTCTAGACAGGTTGTGTGATATATAAAAGCTATAAATATACTATAACATTAATTACACTTGACCAAATTATGGCTAGCCATTACAGTTGTGCACTCTAATTTCTCTAGCATGAATTAGCTCATCCACTGTCACAGTTGGTGGGTGAAAAGTAGGGTAAGAAGAGTCTGTGCAAGAGAGGGCAAGTTTAGATGGATGTGTTGCCATGTCCGTACCCCAGTGAATTGGCAAGGGGGCTGCCTGAGAGGGAGGTATCTGAATATACCTTATTAAAGGGCATAGTTAAATTGCAGGCCAGCACCAGGATAGTACTGTGCCATATAAGGCATAATGCCTTTCTTTGTAGCATTCAGATACTAAATGTTCTCTTCCCTTTGGCCTTAATTTGACTTGTGTATTAAGGTTAAGTGTCAAGATGTGTTAATTGTATTTGGAGCCAATAATCTTATGCTTTTTTAAAAAAAATTAATCAAAATAGTTGATTTACACAGTCACATTCTCTGATGGTGTATTATACAGGATCTATTTAGTAGAGTTAATGAGAAATGAATGTCTAATTTGATTAAGATGTCATTTAAGTATGACTTTAACTGAAATGTATGGGACATGTTTTGAATGTGAATATTAATCTTAAAAATAGATTAGTATATGAACTTTCATTGTAACTCTCTTTTGTCTTGCAGGATACTATTTTTGAGGCAACAAATTAAAGAACTTGAAAAGCTAAAGAATCAGAATTCCTTCATGGTGTGAAAAGTTGTGAATAATTGCACATGGTTTTGAGTACAGGAACTGTAAAACTGATTGCCCAGTCTTAACATTTTTGAGCTGCATTTGAGTAGACTTTGGACCGTTGAGCTGGGCAAAAGAGATGACAAGGGGAAGGGGACAGGAGGGAGTCAATTCAAGGGGAAAGATACAAGAATGACTTAAGAAACCCTTGAAATGTAGATTTCTTGTAGATGTATTCTTCACGTTGTAAATATGTTTTGTAGAGTGAAGCCATGGGAAAGCCATGTGTATCAGAGCTTAGACATCCAAAACTAATCAATGCTGAGGTGGCTAAATACCTAGCCTTTTACATGTAAACCTGTCTGCAAAATTAGCTTTCTTTTTTAGTTAATTTATCATTCAGAAATCTTGCATTTCCTAAAATTCAATGTGAGCGCCAGGCGATCTGTATGTAAGGCTGCAACAATTTGGAACAGTTTGGGTAATGTACAAAATATCATGAAACAACTGTTTCCACACTTGCACCGAATCAAGAGCAGTGCTTCTCCATTTCTGTTTTACAGAGAAACATTTTTCATTTTCAGTGTTCCATTTCCCACCCACCTGAAACCTTAAATCTGATTTTACCAGTTTTTTTTAATGCTTCTAATTTTCTCCTTTTAAGGCACTGTTGCTATGGCACTTTTTCTATAATCTTTTCATTCCTGTGTACAGTAGTTTAAAATTGCAGTGATTGAACATAATCCACTGTTTGTATAAATTATTGAAACGTATTTCCATTTGCACCCTGTAAGAATGGTCTTATAGTACTGCTGGGCATGTGTGCTGAAAGTACATTACTTGCTCAAATATAAGGAAATAGCCCAATGAACATGTTAACATGGTTGTGGGAGGGGAAAGAGGAAAAAGGTAGTCAGATGTGAATTGTATTTGTTGTAATAAACATGTTAAAACAACGAAATACTGGTTTTCATTTCCTTTGGTCAATGCATATTAGAATTTGGTCTATTTGGAGATTCTTTATCCGAACTATTCTTGTTAAACATTTTTGTACTTAATTGAAATAATTTCTCAAGGGAGGTTTTGTTTAAAAGTTGTAAACAAGAAATTGTGTATAAAATATTTAATTAAATATGAAATTCAACAAGGATGATTAAGATACCTCCCCAACAGTTGTCATATGTTAACTCCTGGTTTACCTGTCTTGCTATTATGACATTTCATTTCAAAGGATGTTTGTGTTGTAGCTAACTGTTCAAGTCTGGTGCTGACTGCTGTTCTTAGCCATCACAAAACGCTGAATTTGTGTAATTGGAGCAACCCACTGTTTGAAAATGGTGGAAAAGCTCAGCTTTGTATATTGTTTCCTAAAGTATATTAAAAATAAAAAAAGAAACTATTGCTACTATAAAATAAATTTGCCTTTTTCTTTTCAGAAATCTTCTCAAGTCATGACTTGATACTACTGTGATGCTGCCAGAAATGTGTAAATAAAAAAATATTTTGAAGAAGTTTGAAGTAAACTAAAGTCCCCTTCTTAAAATATTAATACCACTGATGACTGAAGTGAAGGTACTTCAGTTTCTATATGTATTCAAAAGTACCAGCAATGGAAAGTTTATTCTATAGAATCATGGTTTTCCAGTACCAAAGAGATGCTAAATTATTTTTATAGACTATTGTTAAATCTTGTAAGTGGTCTCAAAGACATTTTTGACCTATGTAAATTTTAGGTCTCACAGGCACTGCTTTCAGAAATCAAAATTTACTGTAACTGTCCAAAACAAAACAGGAATATAAGTAACATCATTTAAAACTGCCAAGTAGTTCTTAAACTGGGTTTGGACTTGCAGTTTGTTTGTGGTTCTTTATTTTGCAAGTTTATAATCATATTGAAAGTTAGTCAGAAATATTTAGTGAAATTGTATTTCTGAAAGTGGTAATGAATACCTTCTTGACCCAAGCCTAAAATATGTACATTTTCCTGCACCAGCTGTTCTTCATATCCTGTCTTTGTGGGTGCTCAATGTCAGAGTGTGCATGCACCCAATACTCTTTATTAAGAGATTTTTGTCAGTAGTGTCCTCAGTTCCTTGCTTGCATCTCAGAAATTCACAAGTTTCAAACCAAGAGTATATGTGCAAAGGTGGACCCTTCTCCACTCCATTTCCTTCTCAACTGCCAATGGCTTCAGTTAGAACATTTCATTTTGTCTGCTTTTTCAACCTTATGTGACTCACTATAACTATTGCTTATAATTGTTTATTTTTATATATGTTCAGTTAATTTAGCACAGTCTGTGTGTGACGTGACACTAAGGAGTTTGTTGCTCTTTGTCATGCCCTCTTATTCTTTACCCACTTCAGGCCTTTTTGTTCTGCAAATGCTTGTATGTATCCATTCCAGTATAGATGTGTGTGCATCCCAGTATGGTCTCTGGAAATTTTTTGCTCAGTTGAAGTAGCTCTGGTATCATGTGCGTATATTGGCGGTATAAAGGGCCCAGTCAACCCTGCACCTCTTCAGTTCCTTCTTACCATTCATGGTGGTCGCTGAAACTGCTCTTGCTCCTCGGTGGTCTTTATTTTTCATGACATTTGTTTATCATTAGTGTTTGTACATAGTTTTTATTCTTAGTCAGAACTGTTGTTTTTCTCTGTTAGCAAAATTTTGTGCGTTCCCAGTGTTGAGGTATGCCTCAGTCTCCTTGAGGTACCTGTGCCTCCTGTAACAAGGCTATGCATCTGAGTTGCTCAAAGTGCTCGACTGAGGCTCAAGTCAGAGTTAGATGTCAGATCTGCTGTGAATTTAAATGGTGTGCAAAGAAAGATGAGTCAGACTCAGCACTGAACATCTCTGTGCTGGGGAATCCTGCCACTGTTTCACCACCCACAGTGCCAAGGACTGAAAGCCAGGGAGAGGGAACAGAGTGGAGTGCGATCTACTTCAGACCCCTCTTCTGCTTTGACATAACAGTCAGCATTGTCAACTGACTTTTATGTAGGTACCATTGAGTTCAGAACAAACAAAATTGTCAGCACCAGAGGCACAGTACAGCACCAGCACCGTGCAGTGTTGGCAATACAGGAGTTGATGGTATTCATGCAAGTGGTCAGAAGGGAGCATGTAATCCCTGGCACTGCAATAGCATTAAGAGGGAAACCAACCATGCTAGTTCCCATGCAAGCTTTCCTGTTTCAGTACTGATTTCTGGCACCAGGTGGGAACCTCACCTCCCAGGTCACAGGAGGGAGGTTCAGTGGAGTCGGAGATTGGGTCATATTCTCATCCAAGGAGACACCGTTTGTTACTCCTCCAATCATCCCTTCTGTATCAGGGACCCTTGCAGAAGAGCCATTGAGAGGTTGACCTAATGGTCATTGGCCTATGCCAGTTAAGTTGCCCTTTGGGAACCTGTGGTGGTTCACTATGATTCCAGGACTCCATTTGAGATGCTCCTAGGTGGTGGCTTCCAAGAGAAGAGCATCTCCATCTCATTGGGCAGCACCCAAAACGGACTGTAATACTAAGCCCAGAGCCAAGTTTCAGGAACCAGAATTGCATAGAAAGGGAGTAGTGCCCTAAACTGGTGCTGGTCTCCTCCCTGGATGAGGCTGTGTTAGGAACAGGCATGTTGCATCATCAGGATGAGTAAAAGGCCCACAAACTGCTGAAGAGTGTGGTCTTAAACTTGGTCTTAAAGGCAGAGCTAGTAGAGGAATCCTTCCACAGCCTGGTTGACATTCTGGTCACAGCAGACCAGATTGGGGGCTTGTTGGCTAGATCTCTCAATGAGGCAATTATAGATGTGGTGAAAGCCCTATGGCAAACCTCTTCTTGTACCTTGAGGAATGTTCCTGGGGCACTGTACTGTAGGTATCTCAGTGCCCCAAACCTCTAATTCAGGGGTCAGCAACCTTTTCAAACCAAAGGGCCAAATTACAGCAAAATTTAGAACATGATTAACAGAGCTGTATATGAGTGCCTATTTGCATAACTGAAAATACACAACTTAATGTTGATAATTGACATGATTAATGGCATAAATGAAACCTTGTACTCGCAGATTATTTAATGGGACTGCTGCTGCTGCATCTTTTTGCACATTTCTTTGACGTTTACATCATAACTGGTTAAATCCAGTTTCATGCATGCATTCAGGCTGTCTTTAGTCAATCTTATGGCAGGAGGCTGGGGCTGTGGGGGTGCAAGAGTCTGGGTTGGGGTGTACGTGGGACTCAGGGCAGGGATTTTGCGTGTGATGGACTCAGCACAAGGTTAGATGTGTGGGGGTGCAGGAGTATTATGGCAGAGGGCTAGGGATTGGTGATGCAGGAGTCTGGGATGAGGGGCTCAGGGCAGGGGGTTCAGGTATATGATGGGCTCAGAGTTGGGGTGTGGTGGAGTGCAGGAGTGTGACCAGATGGGGGCTGGGCCTCAATTGGGGGCTTGGTGGACATACTTTCCACTTTTAGCTTCACAAGTATTATGGTACATACAGCATGTAGCTATGGCCATGGGATTATCCACACTGAGGTCTAATCTGCCATAAAGAGATCACTAGCATGCCTGGATGATCATATGTTCCACAGTCAACCTGCATCTACTTAGTCTATTGTTAAACCGCTCCTTATTGCCATCCAGGTTTCCTGTGTTAAGGCATCATGAGCCTTGGCATTAAGGGGCACACTGGGTCTCTCAGGCTCACTCTGGACATTTCCACATCCTCCCACTTTGCACTTTTCATCTGGACAGTCCCCACTTCCAGCTTTCTAGTGTTCCTGAAGATATGCATGTCATGCGCCTTCCTAGACCACCCCACATTGACATCAGTGGAACATCTGGGGTGATTCACAGGTCCCTGCAACACCAAGGAGAAGTAGCTTTTCCTATTGAGGTACTCCATCACAAGGTGGTCCAATGCCTACATTGAATATCTGTGTCTTCTATTGCCTCTTTGCAGTTAGGGAAACCCATTCTGCAAAGCCATCCACTATTTCCTTTGGTATATATAGTTGTGACAATTTTCTTCCACTATTTGATCTGAGGAAGTGAGTCTGGCCCACGAAAGCTCCACCTATTAAACCATCTTGTTAGTCTTTAAAGTGCTACATAGTCCTGTTTTTTTGTTAGCAGAACACAGGTGAGTGCTATGGAATCCAGTCTTTCGCATAGAGATGGCAGGGGGCGAATAGCAAATAAAGACTGAAAGACTTGGAGTGCTGGGGCAGAAAGCAATGCATCATGGGACATTGTACCTGGACCTATCAGTGATACACCACAATCCTCTTCACTTTCCCACAAGACTCAGTGGCAAAAGCTGGCAAGCTGAACTGTGGGATAGCTACAGTGCACTGCTCTGACTACTGATGCTAATGCCCCAATTGTAGAAGCACTCTGACAGAGGAAGCACAGTGTGAATGTACAATACCAATTTTCTTTTTGTGCTGATTGTAGACAAAACTTTTACTAACAAACTGCAATGTAGAGAAGACCTAAGGCATTGGAGGGGAGAGAGAGAGAGAGAGAGAGAGAGTGTGTGTGTGGGGAGGGGTAGAGTGCAGTAGCACTCTCCAGCTTGAAGTGGTTTCCATTATATTCAGGGTTTACAATTGGGTTCAATGGCTCTCAGCACACCTGCTATAAAAAAAGGTTCCAGCGCCTTGGGGTGTAAGGTTTGTTCTTTTTCTTTCCATCCCCACATTTAAATATCTTCAGCTCCTCATTACACCCTGCCTTAATGACTCCCTCTAGCCACTCTCTAACATCTACATTGCCCCCACTTCCAATCCATAAAAAATGCTGCAGTAAAAGACACTTGTCTAATGCTTTGATCATGTGATTCCATTCTTTAATTAAAAAGGAAAGTCTCTTCATCGCTTTGCTAAATTTGATCTTCTCTCCTGGTTAGAGAAATTCTGTACTTATTCATGGAAAGTTATTGTGTACTCAATTTCAAACAGGCATTCATTTCCTCAATTTACTTTGTAACGTGGCCTTGACTGGGACAGAAAAATGGCAAAAGGAGTCACGGTAAATCCAGATTTTGCAATTTTATTCTGTCTTGAGGTTAAAGAAAGTAATTTAAAAGTTTTCCATGAGCTTACAGGACAAAATCCACGTCACCAAAATGACTACCCAGATTAGTCCTCTTGATGATGATCTCAAAGGAGAATGAACATGAAGACTGAAACTCTCAGCTATTCATAGAGCATTGCATGGATACAAAGTTTGGCATCCATAACCGCATCATATCTGCAAAAATGAGGCACAGATACCTGCAGATATAAAGCAGGGTTCTAACTATTCATGTTGTTTTAACTTTGTTACATGTCACTGAAGGTCAAGGTGATGGCACATTAGTGAGGAACCATGCAACTACTCATGCTGTCCTCGTTCTGTGGTTGA